AGAAGTAGCAGAAAAGAGATGGGTACCCCAAAGCGTAACAGACGGAGGAACGGAAAGACTGACGGACGTACAGAAAGACGAACAACCTGATATACCCTCCCACTTTTCAAGCGGAGGGGTATAATGATGATCCAATGATTAAAAAAATAAAAGCAATAAAGATTTGTTTTTTAACATCAGTCTGTAACACAAAAATCATATAACAATCAAACATAATGTGTAAAAAATCCCTTTCTTACATTTATATAGAACGATCAAATTTCAAATAAATGGAATCCTAAAGAAACCGATGTTTTTTGTATAAAATTTACATATGTTTAGAATTAGGGGTTGAATGCAAGGAAATTTAAGATACCAAACCAAATACATGTATAAAAAAAAAAAAACTTTTGTACATTATTGTGTATAAATCTCATTATTAGGTTACTTTTTTTAAAAAAGAAACCTAATAATGAGATTTTTACACAATAATGTACAAAATGTATGTTAAGACCATCCAAAACACAGGGTTAAATCAACGGGGGTACCCTCCCGCTTTTCAAGCGGGGGTATAAATATTTTACAGGAAAAGTATCGCCATAAATGCTATTATCTACATAATAGGTGTTTGGTTTACTTACCACATTTTATCGAACAGTTCCTATTATTTATTGACAATATGTCTATTATTTAGTATTTCCATATGTTAGCGACAAATTAGATAGGTACATAGTAAAGAGTATTAAACAGGGAAGCACAATTTATATGTTATTTTTGATTTCTGAAGAATTGCATACTTATTTCAGTATGGTTCATCATTTATCTTTCTTTTTCGAAGGTCGAAGATAAGAGTCCATTAAAGAGTCTGTTCAATAAATGATGTCCTGAACTGTATGACATACAATACCGATATCATATGACATTAAGCTTAACTTTTTCGCATTATTGAATCTTTAATGAATTTATAAAAATTTATGTGACCACTTTTCATTACATAGTTTCATTGTGAGAAGCTGGAAAACAAGGACTATTCGAGACATTACATGTAAATTGAATGATAAAAAATCAGTTAATTAGAGTGAAAAAACAGGAAAGAAACGAGTCCAGGAAATCATAAGATCTGCCATTTTCTAGTATAGTAAGGGTCAACCCAAAAATGAGTTCTATAATCAATTAGAAGTTGGAAAAAAATGTACGGTTATGAATTTTCATTAAAAGAGAATATATAGTGAAATCAATCACTCACTCAGTCGTCCTTAGACGACCAACGACATGTACACGCCAGATCTTTCAATCGGCCATTAGGGAAGCTAGTTCTTTTGCATCTCTCGTCCTTATGTCACGCTTTGTGTAAAAATGTGGCCTTGGGTCTTCCTCTTCCACGGCGTCTGTAATTTGGCTCCCACAGTACCAATGATTGTGCGTTGACCTCTGGGTGACGCAAGCAATGCCCAGCTAGCTGCATTCTCCTGGAAGCTATTTTGTCACTGACATTTGGTAGGTTACCATATAGGATCTCGTTGGGAATGTGGCTTGTCCAGTGAATGTGTAGAACCTTACGAAGCATGCACGTATAGGTTCCATCTAGTGACTTCTCTTGTGCTACGGTTAGACTCCAGCTCTCGCAGCCATACAGCAGAATAGACTCAATTGTGGCAATGAAGAAGCGCAACCTGAGATCTCTTCGCATTATTGAGCGTCATATTTTAGACATCTTGTTCAGAGCCTGCCAGACTAGTACTTTTCGAACAGCTATGTCCTCTTCTGAGCATTTGATCCAGGAGCCAAGATATTTAAAATCTTCGACTCATTCGATTTCAGTGCCATCTAAGGTTTTGAGTGGCGTAGTGTTGTCAGTATTGAAGGGGAGGGCTTTTGTCTTCTTGGCGTTAATACATAATGATAGTCCAACCCACTTACTTTAACTTTTTATTTAAGTTAAATCATTAAGAGTAAATCATTGAAAAGTGTCTTTTGCTTCTTTCCGAGCACCGAGGACATTATTTATCGAACATTCCTCGTATACTACATTGTAGTAAATCGGAAGCAGGACAAACACTTATCTCCAAAACATAAGAGATGGACTCAGATGCTTGTCATTTCAAAAAATTAAGTAGAGTATTTTTCTTTAGAATACGAATTTGTCAGATACTAGTATTCGAGATGACACTTACTAAACCGTACAAATAATTTTAACACAATGCAAAAACTAGAAAAAGTCGAACTCCAATGTTTAATCACTTGCACGCCTACCTCAGTATTGCATCAGCTGCTGTTGTCCTTAAAAATTGAAAAAGCAGTGAAAAAAATTGAATGGGGTCTGGGTTCCCTAACTTCCATGAGGTTGGTAAAGAATACTAGAATACCACTTTTCGTGGTGCTTGTGTAAAAATTTTCACCAAAATGTATCATTTTGACATGCAAGAATAGTACCCCAGTTATCATTAAAGGGTCTATAGATGAAAAACAATCCAAAATTGTTAAGGAATATACGAATTGGTGTAAGTGTACAATAAATTTCCGCCCTTGACTCTACAACAATAAATCAGGATCGTTCAATATGATAAAGAGTTATACAAACGACATTTTCCTTCTAATGATACCAATCTATTTCAAAAGATGAAATGTTTTTTGTTTCTTTTTGCATAAAAATTATTATCATGTAGGGTCTATAAGGATGAAATTACCAAATTAATAAAATAAATTGAAGAAAAATGGATTTTGGCTGATCCGAATTTTTTCTATTTTTCTTCAATCTTTAGGATATTTAAGTTATTTTTATATGCACCCTATATCTAAATTTTCCTTATTGTCACATATGATAAAGAAGTCATATAGAGATACAAAATGATACTAAAACAAATAGTTTTGACAGTTTATTAAGAGAGTAAAAACACTTTCTACGGATTTTTGCTCATATCTGTACTAAGGCTAACATAATTGTAGTTTGCTTGGAAAATCATATTTATTTAATATAATTTAAATCTTTAGTCCCTTATTATTAAAAAAAACTAACATTTGAAAAATTCTTTAAGTCTTTGATTGTGTAAAAATTAGGTATAAATTCGTTGTTCTATAATAATTTTGAGAGGCAGAAAAGAAGATATTTTCTAAAGCCACCATTCCGCCAAAATAAAGTCCCCGCCTGTTTTCGAACACAATTTACTATTTCTATTAAAAATTGTTGTGATGATAGAAAAATATGGTCTTTTAAATCTCTTTCACCTAAATATACATCGAATATTTCATCTACTCAGAAACCAGAGAAGAATCCTACCTTAAAATGCAATTTTATGAAACAAAAAACATCCGTGTAGCATACTGATTTCCTGGAATTTTATATTCTACATATGTTGCATTATACATCATGTTTAACCAAGTGCATTGCATATAGTTTGTATCTGTTACTTTGATACCCAAGCACATGTTGCTTCCTTTTTTACATGTTGAGTTAATTTTTTTATGACAAGTGCTCGATTTCAGCAAATGTTTGTTGTCTGAGAACTTTCTTTTAAGGGATGGTGGATGTCATCGAAAGAATTATATTTATTTTTGCAACTCTGTGTATATGGGTTGAAAAATATAAGAAACCTCTTAATTAATCTCTAATATTATCAGTAAATAAAATCAGCATTGATGTCATCATTTTGATTTGTAAATAAAATGGGAGAAATAATAAAATATATCCCAAAATATCTATTTCTACGTTTTGGTGTTTTATGAAAGCAACTGAAGTGACTGGTATTTAAAGCATAATATATAAAACATTTACTGGTGAGAAACGCCCCATTCATTATACATGAACCAATCAGTTGCCTTTGGTATTCTTTTTTAGTATAAATTTTCCAACTATTTTATGCACATACATTATTGAAACAAAATGTGCATGTTTCTTAAATTCTTTGTTATAATAGCTTCTATGTCTATTATACGTGAGTATTTCTTTTTAATTATACGTGTGTATATTGTTTCAATAATATTGTTTTTAATTATTTTTCTTATAATTTAGATGCCTCGTCTGAAGCATTTGAGACATTTGCCTGTGTAGTTGGATGTAAAATTGTTTTAAGATGGAGATCAACACATGTCCAGTTTCAAGTATTAGGAAAAAAGATGACCCAAAATATTCTCTGAGCCTCGTCACCGAAGCAAATAGTTTCACATATCATGATGCAGAACCAGGTCAGATGCTCTCAGTAGCGTGGATACCGGTAGGAGGAAATAACAGGGCAATGCTTTATCTCCAAAAAGTGCAAAATGTTAGAGTTCGCAGTGGTAGGTTTTTCCAGAATAACCTTGTTAATGACTTCCTTGTTCTTAAAAGTAAGAACTCGAAAGACAAATTATGAGGTCTTTAAAATGAAATTCATAGATATATGTTATAAAAGCCAAGGTGTACGTTCTTCAGTCATGTGGTATTTTCCCCTAAATTTTGTCATTGAGGTATTACTACTTTAATATGTTTACTCAAAATAAATAAGCTACTTTTACCGGTATTTGTGCAAGATGGCAGAGTATAGTGTTTCTTTTATGATCATTTAGGAAAAAGATTATTTCTCTACATCAATTTTTTATAATTCCAATTTTTTAGACGATTAGAAACTGGTTTAGTAAACAGAATCTGATAAGATTTTGAACATTTTTCATTTATCACAAAAAAAAATTATGAGGAAGGTGATCATCTGACCTAAAATCGACCACGTCTTTCTATTATTAGAAGAAACTTTTGATTTAAGCGTTCTCTTTTGGGTACGTTTTGAGTCGATGATTTGTGTTCTTGAATACTTTATTTTATGGAATTATTTATGATATTTCGATCATATTTACTTGTTTTATATCTAGAATATATTAAATATAGAAGATTTTTAAACTGATCATAAACTCTTTTTTTTTTTACCTTTTATTGTTTAGAAAGTATAAAATCAATTAAGACTTTCATACACATTTGTTTGACATTTAGCATTAACTTAAATAAATTGTTGATCAATATAATGAAAAGACCTTTTTTCAATACAGATTGCATGAACCAAGTTTCCCTTTCAACGCCAAAACTCAGTAAGCTGTATTTAGATTTAGTTTTTCCCCTTTTATTTGTTGTTGTTATTGCGTATACTATACGTATAATCTCGATCTTCATATGTAAAAGTTATATTTTTGCTTTTCTTTTTGTTCTGTATATGTACGTATTTCGAAATCCATTAAAATTGCAACAAAAAAAAAGAAAATTCATACAGATTTAAATGGATTTATTATACCCCCCCTTGCTTGAAAAGCGGGAGGGTATATAGTAATCGGGATATCCGTCCTTCTGTCTGTCCTTTCGTCCGTCTGTTTTTTTATTGAATTTTTATTACAAAATGCAATTGTTCACCTCTTATTTAACTTTTTGATCCGACATATATTTTGGGTTTCCCGTTGCAAAACATGGACATTACATTCTTACCTATGACATGAGGTGTGGTGGCTTCTGAATAATATTGGACACCACGAGTTATTCCTCGATGATGTAGAGAAGGCAAGAGATCTTCCCAAAGATAGATAATGTAACAAAGCTTGAGCTAGTAATTTTTGATCTGACACATATTTTGGGTGTCCCATAGCAAACCATGGGCACTGCCATTATATTCATATGGGAGGTGGGGGTATCATTTAGTGAGCTCATTGCTCACAGTACCTCTACTTTCCTTTTTATTTTGTAAGCATTTACTTACACCAAATGTATAAAATACTCGCTTACTGAACAATTTTTAGTTACATGTACATCCATAAATGATAAAATGAACACATTGTTGTCTATAAGGTCATATGTTTGTATAATACCCATTAAAATAAATAATCACTTAAGTACATTTTAATTTTAATTTCTTTTTAAAAATCTAAAAGATCTGTAATACAAAATTAAAGCTTCTTTAAACCATTTATTATGTATTCTCATAATTTTCCCTGAACATTTAATACAGGTAAAAACCAGAGTACTTCTATGCTTCCCGATTGTTTATCACGTTCACCCACGGTGCCACCAATACATTTAGGGTCTACAAAGTCCGGTAAGTCTTTTTTAAAAATCTACAAATGTTTAAACTTTTTTTTAAGTTCTACTTATGTGCCTGTAAAATATTAATACATACAATTCCAAGACAATGTTTTCACTTCCTGTTTTTAACGACGTTCGATCCTGATATTTAAAGTCCTTAACTTTTTTTGCCAAGTATATTTTTAGTTTCTACATACATAGCTTAATTAAAATTCAAATAAAAAAAATGGGGGTCAATATGCTTCTTTTGGCGCTACAGTACATTTAATATGACCCTTTTGCACTGAAATTTGTGTCTTCATTAAAAATTACATCTTCGACATTTTCCCTCAAATATTTTTATATAATTAAAGCATGAAACCAAATGAACTCGAAGTTTGTTTAAAAAAAAGACACTTTAAAATTGTGACTAAGAAAAAGTTCAAATTGCTTCGCATAATCATTTATTTGACCTTTCTGCACTAATAAAATGTGATTTTTCCGGTATTGAAAATTTAATTAGCAAGAAAATTATTTTTAAGTCTTAAACTTTTTCTGATTTTAAGCAAACAGGTCAAAGTTATCTTGAATATTTAGAAAAGAATATCAAAAGTGGGGGTATATGATGTAAAATTTCAGATATTACTAAAAAAAGTGTCAATTTTACGTGAAAATTGGCTTTTTTTTTCCAGAATTTTCAGAATATATATACTATATTTGTCACACTTTGTTAATAGAATTCATAAGAAATAATTTAATAGATATTTCAAAACCAGAATAACACATATCACTGCAAAAAAACAGCTTTGTGTGCAACCAGCAAGGAAAAATAGGAATCCAAAATTAACAGTACTGTTATAGTTCAAAACAAAAAGGGAAAACTGATCATTTTCGTCTAAAAAACCTTCCGCCACAAAATATAGTCCCTAGTTAAATTCTACTTGAATGGAATTTAATCGCGGTTTTTTCATTGAATATAGTTCAATATGCATTGTAGAATTCAGATTTTATGTTAGAACTTAAAAAATGATGCGGAATTTTATAAATAAAGGACATGACCAAAATCCACTCAAAATCTCAGGATCGAACGTCCTTAAAACGACGATGAATGAAACCTTCACTAACGGTTAGTATTTCAGCTAAACAAAAAATATCTTTTTTAAATTTCTTTTCCAAATGTACTTCAAATGCATAAAATGACATCTCTCTCTCTCTCTCTCTCTCTCTCTCTCTCTCTCTCTCTCTCTCTCTCTCTCTCTCTCTCTCTCTCTCTCTCTCTCTCTCTCAGTCTTGAGTTTCATTCAAAAACAAATTTATACAGCTAAATTATTATAAAAATGGTTCTGATATTACTTCACGTCTACTTTGCTTTCAGTTCTTTTGTAAGTTTTTCCAAAATTTATAAAAATCAATAATTCTGAAAATGCATTTAATCCGTTAGGGGGTGTTAGATATCTTTCTACCTCTTGTTTTAATTAGTTCTACTAATATATTTGTAATATATTCTTACAGACAATTTCAAGACTTCATTTTCGCTTCCTGTTTTTCAAACGACAAAGAATGATCCTTTCAGTAACGGTAAGTATTTCGGCGAAGCAAAAAAGTATCTCTTTTTATTTTTTGTTCAAGTGTACGAGGGTTGTCCAGTAAAATCGTGGACAATTTGTCTATAGTGAAAAATAATTGTCACCGGTACGGATTCTAAAATTTCAGTACTCTTGAATACATTTTTGATCAATATATATAGCAATAAGATACCGATATATGCATAGATAAAAAAAAGTTATGATATTTTTTTATGTGTTGTATCGCCTTACGGCGGAGGGATGATTACGTCAAAGTGTCAAAAGCAGCGTCACGTTTCCTCTTTGCTAAAAAATGTTGGTTAGTCCCACTTAAATTTAGCAATTTTATTGCTTTACATATTGGAGTCTCTCTTGATTCCTCCATAAACAGTGCAAAAAACCATGCAATCTAACACTCTCACGGGACCTTCTAAAGATTTACTAGTAAGTTATGGAAAATATTCTCATTCAAATACATTGCAAATAGGCAATCTTATATCGACGTTCTACAGTGACCAAAGCTGATTGTCTGTATATAATTTTTCTACCCGGAGACTCGATAAAAAAAATTCGCTTAGAAAACTTTCATTTCAATTGTATACTTAATTAAGACCTGTTGATATTTTTCATTTTTTTCTGTATTCATTTAAAGTCACTTAGGGTGTCATTTCTACATCAAAATCAAACTTAACTGCTCTTCAGTGCGCTGTATCGTCATTAAACGTTTTTTTTTCGTATGTTGTGTTTAGCTTACCATCTTTCCCATTTAAATTATATATACAACAAATCCTGCTGAAGTAGAGAAAGTAAAGTTTGTTTAGACATGTATATAACGCGGTCCTTGCTTAGACTATGCCCAACATGTGTGCTTATTTCTCCGCACTTCAGTTACGTCGGAGTTTGTCAATCAGGATTGGATGAAACATTTAACCCATTATTCATAAAATTTTAATTTTATGATTATTATGCGTTTTTATTTTACATTTAATCACTCTTTCTTAATTTTCTATTACATGAATGTTAAATATTTTTTATTCAAATTGTTTTAACTCCGCAGAAAGCACGCCGACTTAAAACTTTCATATCATATAACCGACCGCCTCCTGGCGGCCGGTAATAACTTTTTTTGTCTATGATTAACTTAAAATATTAAGATGCACTTAAATGTGAAAAAATAAACATTTGCTGAAATTTTAAGCTTAGCCTACCCATTTCTACCCATTTCTTAAAAAAAAGTTTTGTCCACGATTTTACAGGACAATTATCGTACTACATACGCAATAACCCTCTCTCTCTCTCTCTCTCTCTCTCTCTCATATTTTGGTTGAATTATCAAGAAATCAACTCATCTCACTTTCAAAGAGTTATCACAGAGAAAACAAATAGAAATTGGAATATTCTTTAGTATGATATATTTTATATAATATATATTTTTATTTTATTATAGTATCTGCATATATCATAATATCTGCGATATTAAAGGATCGGCATATATTCTGGTCAAACTTTTTTTTTCATACGAAGAAAAAATAATTTTACTAGGAATATTTGTTAAAAAATGAACTTATTCATAGGTTTACTTTTAAAATATGTTATATTTTCCCCATAGATTTTTGCAGAATCTACTTTTGGACATCTCTTTCTTCAATTCCTGTATTGGCCTGTATAGTGTCAGTCACTCTGTATCTCTGTGTTATCAGGAAATCCCACAGTATGTGTATTATTTTTTAAATAATTGAAACTTTTTTCCCTTGCATTCTATTTATCTACTAGTATTAAATTGTTTTTTATGGAATTTTGATTATGGTTTTTTAACTGAAGTATTTTCCATCGACAGAGGCAATCCAGAATGGCAATGCTTCAACAAAGAAAAGGTCAGTTTCTATGTATATTTCCTGTTTTGTTCCAAGTTGCATCTGTACCTAATTACTGTTTTACACATCTACTCACCAGTAATTCTGAATTAATAGGTCAGACGTCAACGTGAAATCAACATGCTACGCAAATGATGGTGAAAATGAATACCATGAAGTACAGTATTGCCTGGCGCAATATACGGAAAATTAATAAATTTCCGCGATCAAATTTCAACTTTTTGTAAACTTGATCTTTACTCTAAAATATCTTATCGACTGTGATTGCACTGTGTTATAGAAATTCAGCTTTATCGACTCTATTTCATTCTTTGACCTGTTCCAAATTAAAATATTTCATCATTTGATGACACTTAATCAGTAAAGTGATTTTGCACGTATATACATTTAGTATTTATAGAAAACTACAACTGTTTTATTAGCAATATTTTATTGGCACCTCAGCACCAAGATTATTTTTCAACTTATTGTTACAACAATACCTTAATTCCTAATGCGGTCTAATATGCTCCTTATAAATACTTTTGCATATTATTCGTGTACCAGTAATATGTTATTGCTTTGTCACGAAAGCATAAATATTTTTTTTAAAAGCCGCAGTCATTTAGATTTTGTCTCCTGTATGGCGCAGTGGTTAGAGCGTCTGCTCTATAGCCACGGAGTAAGGATCTGATCTTACGTCCAGGGTTCGATCCTCAAGACGTAAATGTATAAACCGAGGTCCCGTGTCGCAATAAGTGTAGAAAGGGAAAAGATCAATCACAGTTCAATGACCCTGAGTACCGAGTGGTGAAATCTCCATAACAGTGAAAACATTTAGATTTTGTGCGGCACAATCTTCCAATTGTTTTTAAGGATTTAAAGATCTAAGATTAGGAAAATTACGTTGGTGAGGGCTGTGTTTTAAATTTCGTTAATTTGACATTTAAAATAGATATTTTTAATAGAATTACAGCTCTTCTGTTACAATTAATGTAGTGTTTAGATGGTTCTTGAGAATTTATTTACAAATATTTTTCAAAGAAAATCTCGTTTCTCGATCATTAATGCTCCGTTTTTTTGTGAAAGTTTCAGCGATACAGAGTTTGAATATTCCAATTAGAATTTTTCAATCACCATGATACGCGCCACTGCTCTGACATATATGGCCAAATGTACATGAAAAAGGATTTATGAGGGCTGTACTAGTATTTAATAATCCCTAGTTTCTTCATGGAGCGAGAAAATCCTTTTTAAAAAATGTCCTCTTGGTTACTTCACCGTAAGGCCATCCAGGTCAAAAGTAAACTTCGACATTTTTTATTCCATTTGGAAAAAAATGGAGGAAATAGTATTTTTTTTTTGTTGTTGTTGTTCGCCGAGATGCATAAAATGATGCGCTGCTTTGTACTAGCTTGGGCTAGTTGGTAAACGTGGTTTTATATTATTTTTTTTCAAAATCTTAACTAAAACCATTCGATAACATATTTTTTAATGCTTTTATACTTTTTTAATTCTTCCAAGAGTATGTGCAGAAATAAATGCGGCAAGTGCAAAAATACTTCTTCCTTCAAGTGCAATACCTGACGGCAAACACCACTCAAACAAATAACAAAAAAATATGTAGTCTCAAAACAAACAATCACCATATGTTCTCTGTTTGAACGTCACATATATTGTTACAAGAAATGGCTACAAAATTGTGGTAGAATAATTTTAGAAACAAAGAAACAAGAGAAATTGCAAAAGTAGTTCCATTGTTCCATCGTTTCAGTTCTCTTTTGATAATGATCTTTATTCGAATGCACCTATTACAGTACATATTAATTACTTCTTTTAACTTTGTTAGATTCTACAATTGGGTGATATGTTTTGTACTTAAAACTTTAAAGTGAACAAATATAAACTTTCAAAACTTACTTGCCAAATGTTCAATAAAAGCACTTTAATGCCTAGGTCACATTTCCCGGCCGGTAGCTTTAAATTCCGGTGGTAATTTTTAAAGAATCCGTTTGTTAAAGAATGCCCCAACATCGGTCTACATCGGCCAAGTAGTCCTTAAAGTATCAGTCACATTATCCAGCGATGGATATACGATGGACAACCAATGCGTTTTATGAAAAAATATTTGCAAAGAAAAAGGCCCGGCGATGCATTCAATCATAAAACGATGTTCCAGGATAATCGGCCGATGTATTTTTCATCGCTCACATATTGGTGAACATTGTTCGTACATCGGTCGACTACGGGCCAATGTTTGGTCGAACATCGACCGATGATCGGTCGTTATCTGTTGAACATCACTAAACTCCCCGATGACCTCAAATTCAACGTTTATTGGACGATGCTCGGCCATACATCGGCTGATCCTTGAAAGACGTGTTAATGATGGGTTGTCGATGTGGAACGATGTGAGGCATCGTTGAAGACATCGCTGAATTTTAACTACGAATTATTCCCTACCAATGAAATTACTGATTCGCAGAAAAGACTCAGTCACCGTCCGATATATATTGGTGCCCGGCTGGCAACCACGCCATTTTCATCAAAAACGCATTTTGTTTCTCATCGTAAACCCCATCGTTGGATAATGTGACTTATACTTAAGTAAGTTTATAGTATTTGTGATTTTGATAAATTGATACTTATATCATAAGTCTAATCTTGAAAATTCATTGTCCCTGTAAGTAAAAATTGTACCTTCAACGCAATTCATGAAACTGTATATATTTGAACTTTTTACATTTCCAAAATTGTTTAACAAGTAGGATTTACAACATAATAACAAAGGTAATAAGATAGGATATAACATTAGAATATATTTGGTATATACATTTTATAGCTCTCTAGAACTTACAGTAGTTTAAGTTGATGCAGAGGTGGATTTGAAGTACAAGATAAGATAGATGTTATTTCAAAAAGAAAATGAATAATTTATTTAAGAGGAAAGAAAATGCTGATTTTTATGGATCTGTCCTTCCATATCAGGGAACACTACAGGTTATTCATGCTCACTAGTATACTAGTGCTCAAAGGTATTCACTCTCATGTTTATACTAGTACTTAATTCCAGCATCCATTTTAAAACACGGGTTTTCAGGGGGATGAATAAGACATCTATTCTGTCTCATTTCCAATTGTAAAAACAATCCGCAGAAGGATAAAACGCTCAAATAGGACCTTAGGTCCCGAGGTCCTAGTTGAGCGTACGTTTTATCCTTCTGCAAACAATCTAGTATGTAAATAATGGCCTAACTCTTTGGTATGAAATAGTCAGTATTTAATGATAGATTGTAGTTGTTAACAAGCTTATTGTATCGACCATAGAACCATTCTTTTTTTTTATAAACTTTTTTGACAACAGCTTCTTTTATTTTTTAAATTGTACATATGTAGAGCATGCTAGTGCATATCATATTGACCTGGAGACATAAATGCCATATGTTGGTAATAAGGTTGTATTGCTACAAAGGCAAGAAAAAGTTAAAGTCATCTCGTTTATTATACAGATTTGTTCTTAGTTTACCGAACTTCTTTCATGTCAGACTCTGTGATCTTTTTTTTAGGTTTTCTAGAATATATTTTGCCTAAATGGGATTAACTACATGTATTGATACTTGATAATTGAAATTTATAATTATACTGTCGAGTTGGAGGCCTTAGCAAGTACTTTCTTCTTCTCATGTACATGTTTTTGCTATATATATGAAGACAAAAATAGGTCTGTTGATTATGGAGAGAAAAATACACAAATTAAATTGAATTTATATAAAAAAAAATTTTAGATACCACATTTTTTAAAATTATATATACATATTCCTTTTTCCTTCCCGTGTGAGTGGGTGTCAAGAGCAAAAATAAAATGGAAATATTTATTACAGTTCAAATTCCAGGTTTCCTGGATTAAACTTTAAATGGTGTTTCGTAAAACGATTCGTAATGCATGTATTGAACATGTATTTTAACGCTAGTGACTGGTACCTAATTCACACAAATTTACGGACCTTTGAATAAATCTATTTATAATATCCTTGTTCGTTGGAAACATAAACATCTCTCATAAAAATGTGGACTTCAGTACAGGTTTTCTTAATTCACCGATAAGTTAAGATAGAGATAAAATTGAGAGCGTTATTATTCATTCCTTGGGTAAAAATTCTAAAATTTAAATTTTTCGATCTGAATTAGGAATCAAGGATTGAAAAGGGGCAATAAACATTTGTTTATCTATCATCTATCTGTATTACATTGAACATCTAGCAATAAAAAATAAACTCTTGCTTTTATTAATATAGAAAGATCGAATTCAGAACAAATGGCACGGGCTAGTGATTTGTTTCTCGCACAAAAAATTTATTCGGTTAAAAAAAAACAGTTTCAAAGCAAGTAAATATAAGAGAACAAAATGTATAATTTTAAACAAATAATAAGATTTCTACAAATCCTCAACTTCCCTTATTTATACAGCAATATACCTCCATCACCTATATACAGGGTTTATATCTTTCGGTTGATTCGCTATGCAAGAACATGCTCTGCGTATGAAATAATTTCTAAAACGAGATAAATTATTTAAAAAACAGGTTTCAATCATCATTTCGTAAGTTCTATGGTCGATACAATGACCTTGTCAACAGATACAGTTTATCATTGAGTCAAATACTGACTGACTTTTTTCATAATAATTGTTAGTCCATTATTAACATTGAATTGTCGACGGATTTTCCTTTATTTTCCAATGATGACAAGATGCACACGGCGGGTTAACCGGTTGGCAGGGGATGCTCACTCCTCCATTTCACCCGATCCCACCTCTGATTACTTTTTTCACCTGAGCTGAAAGTTTTTGAGCTTTTCTTTTATTTTGTGTTGTCCGTCTGTCTTTGTAAACTTTTCAAATTTTCGACTTCTTCTCAAGAACCGCTGGGCCAATTTCAACTTAACTTGCCACAAAGTATCCTTGGGTAAAGGGGATACAGAAATTTTCATAAAGGGCCACGCCCTTTTAATAAATAATTGGGAATTAATGAAAATTTGGTGGCATAATTAAAAATCTTCTTCTCAAGAACCACTGTGCCAGGAAAGATGAAACTTATGGGGAAACATCCTCAGGTAGTGTAGATTCAAGTTTGTTCAAATCATGACCCCCGGGGGTAGGGCGGGGCCAAAATGGCCGACCAAAGTTTTACATGGAAATATATAGAAAAATTCTATAAAAAAATCTTCTTCTCAAGAATGACAAAGCCATAATTCATCATATTTATATGGAAGCATGTTCAGGTAGTGTAGATTCAAGTTTGATCAAACCATGACCCCCAGGGATAGGACGGGGCCAAAA